GTATGGAGTTAGTCTACAACATACAAGGAGTGAGAACAAGGGCAAGCTCCCTTTATCTCTTTTCATTGAATTATAAAATAAATACATGACATAGTAATTCTTCTTTGTTAAATGTAGTTTTGAATCTTTTGACCTAATTGAGTTATTCAATTTCTAGTCAATTTCTTTGATATTTAATGATTAATTTAACCTAAAACACCACACACGGCACTTCGCTCATATCCTTATTATCTTCTTATTTTACTTAAAGAAAAGTATTTTTATCCTTTTATTCAACTTGAAGAAATGACGGTGCCGTTCATATATTAAACATTATTACATTAGTAGTTTAGTACCCACACCATTTATTTCAATTTGAAGTAACGTATTTTTTAAGTTTTATTTATTCTTGGTCAGAGTTCTTAAAAAGTAAACATGGAATGAAGGATGGAAATTAGGAAATAAGAAACTAAAAAATTTAACATATTACTTATATTTTAAATTTTGATTTTATTGTCGTGTGCAACAACTTCAAATTCTCTCACGTTCTCATACATGTCGCGCTCATTCATGATTGAGCACACATCTCCCTATGCTTACATATTACCATATTTTAAAATTTGATTTTATTGCCGTTTGCAACAACTGCAAATTCTCTCACGCTCCTATACATGTCGCGCTCACTCATGATTGAGCACACATCGAAGGGTTTATGCTCTCCCTATGCTCACATTGCTTCCTGACAACATGGATTCGCAATTCCTTAATACTTTGAATCAACGTTTAGCATAAGTAGAATCACATTGTTGTGTAGCAAGGAATCATGATGTCTGTGATATAGAAACTTGATTTCGCAATTCCAAAAAATTTGGAATCAGCGATTCTCACAAGCAGAATTGTATTCTTGTGTAGCTAAGAATCACAAAGTCCTCGATATGGAATCTTGATTCCGGCAATCCAAGAATCGAGATTCATAAACTAGGTGGAATCGTGTTTCGCAAAAAATGGAAATGTGATTCCTTTCTTTTAGAATCAACTTTCTCCCGAGGAAACGACGAATTGGGATTCTGAAATGGAATCACAACCCTCATAGGCGATTCGGGTAACCATAGTCTTGACCAACTTGTTTGACCGTTTCCAGTTAATAAGGGTCTTGAGTTTTCCTACCAAATTGTTTGAGCATTGCATCCAGGAGACCAGGACCCAAGAGCCGACTTACTTGAAGCATTGTAGCACGGAACCATGCACATTTGAAAGATTTTTGGTATTTTGAACTCGTGTATGATTAGGGGTGGCAACAGGCTCGGCCTGGGTGAGGTCAGCCCTGGCCCTAGTGCCCACATGGCTGGCTTGAGCCTGGCCCTCTCTGGAGGGCCAAAGAAGCACTTGCCCTGTCAGGGCCGGCCTGGGCCAGAACAAATACAATAAAAAGTAAACAAAAGATAAACAATATGGAAAAAGGGCCAGGTCGGACTTGTCACAAACCTTGCCATGCTCCACGCACGACCTGACTGTCCTTGGGCCGTGGTGTGCTGCCCCTTGGCTGGCTGTCAGGCCATGTTTTGTGGTCTGAGCCCTTTGTGGTCCGAGCCCTATTTTTAGGGCCAGGCCGAACCAACTGGCCAATTGCCAGCCCTAGTGATTGAAAACCAAACACCAAGTTTCTTTATGACAGTTGTTGATAAGGAATTTTTTTTGAACCTTTTTTAACAGTTGCACACACACATATTGCACTTCTCTCATGCTGTTCTAAGATTCCAAAATATAATCTTTCGAATATATTTCAAATGTTTTTCTAGTTAAGCTGTAAGGAAGTCATATTATCATCCATGTATGCAAGAGGTATTCAAGAGAAAATTTTTTTTATATTTAAAATGCTGCAAAAAAGGGCTTCAGCAAGACCTTCAACCTTCTTTTCTCTGAGCTTTCTATGCTTTTTAAAAGGCTTTGATTGCCTGAAGTGCTACATTCATGGGAGGATACCATTCAAAATTTCCATGGATCATAATTTTTCATGAAAAGTATAGTTGTGGCCAGAAACCTAAAACAACTCTCTTCTAGTGTTCAATGACTTGAGATTAAATCATCCAAACAGCTCTCTTCGAGATGGCTGACATAAGATTGATTCTTTCAAAATAATTCAAGAATGCAGATTTATTTGGTAGAAACAAAAATGTGACAAAAGTCATGCACGCAGTGAATTTGACTCTCTCTCAAACATCAATTCTTGTTCCTATCTCCCTTAGCATGACCACTAGTAGAGAGTGAGCCTCCTGTGATCCAGTTATATGTCAAAGAACCCAGAAGCTAGTGTGGCAAAATGTTTCAATGCTAACCTATACTGGTGGAATTTGGCAGTTGGGTTTCTCAGTTTTGGGCTATTAACTTTGTCAGTGAACTAGAATCCTAGAAGTAAGTTGCATATGACACCCTTCTTTTATTCTTAACTTTTCTGGTGGAGAACATCATTACTGAAACATGCAAAGGAAAGTCTGCAATGACTATGTCTAACATTTTTAGGCAATTGGCTGTATTATGTGTTTGGAGGAAGAGGAGACCAATGGCCACCTCTTTCTCCATTGCAAACTGGCCTCTACCCTTTGGGCTGACCTCCTTCAACATTCTCACTGGCAGTGGGTCACCCCACCCACAGTTCCACATCTCTTTTGCTCACACTTCTGTCCTTGGGCCAAAGCGGGTATCATCGTGTGGAAAGTCTTTGTGGCTGCAATCCTCTGGGTCATCTGGCATGAAAGGAAGAGCAGAATATTCAGCAGCCGTCATCTGGCATGAAAGGAACAGCAGAATATTCAGCAGCCAAAGGTCCAACCTGGCGGCCAGCAGAATATTCTGCAGCCAAAGGTCCAACCCGGCGGCCATGATTGAGAAGTCCAAATCTGTTGTCCTCTTTTTGACCCACTTACAAAAAGACCCACTCACACGAAACAATTTAGACACTTATCCCTCTCCGACTTCCACCTAAATTGGTCCACTTTGCTGAACCGGAAATCTCTTAGAATATCTTGGGCTTCCCGGTGTAGACCCTAGAAACTGGCCAGATTAAGATTAATTTTGATGGCTACTACTTGGGATACCCTTGGCCCAAGAACTCTGGGAAGGCTTTGGGCCATACTCTTAAAGGTGATTCCAAGAGTATGCTGGCTTGGGCTTGGGCCTCGGTTTTGGAGACTTGATAGTGTTATTGATGAGATTTCCCAACTTAGCTATTCGATTCAAATCATGTGGAGTCACACCTGGAGAGAAGCCAATTCTGAGGCTGACTCCCTTGCTAAGGAAGGGGCCTCCCAATCGGTGGTAAACCTGAGCACAATGCGGGAAGTGCCTTAGCACCCTAAGGGACCTCCCGATCGGCTGTAAATGACTTAGCACCTGGGAAGCACCTTAGCACCCTAAGGAAGGGGCCTGCCAATCAGCTCTAAATGCCTTAGCACCTTTTGGAGCATGCGCTTTCCCCTTCACCCCTACTTTTGCTTCGTCCTAGCTTGGCAACTCATTTTGTATAGCATTTTTTGGACATTCCTTTTTGTATAGGGCACCCATTTGTGGGCTGCGTCTTCAAATTTCACTCCCCTCTTGTAATTTTTCACTACTTTTATACAATGCTAACACACCAAAAAAACTTTTTTAGGCAATTTTTGAGGTTTATCAGAGCAAAAGCTGTCTGGTTCAGCAATCACCTCAGGCTTCTGCTGCCTAGATACATCAGCAAAAGTGAAAATGACAAAGTAAAATATAACGTCATCAACAAAACGGTGACAAACTAATGGTCTTATAGAAAGGATAAAGTGATGGAAAAGTTTCCCTAGAGATCTCAGAGTGCTTCATGAAAAAAAAAAAAAAAAATCTCAAAGCTAGGCATATGAGGACATTGAGGTAGACATACGAGGACATTGAGGGCCAGCCCCTGGTCTAGGGAGTATTATGTTGATCATTATAGTTTTCACAATAGATAGCTGAACTAGGTCGTGACTCTTGATCCTTTTATCTTTCTTATTAAAGCAAACTCTCCACTTAACTGCTCCTTGACAAGAATGAAGGGTATCGCTGTATAGTATTTTATACTTGTATTCATTGTGTTTATTTTGTATGGATTACTCTCAAAAGGGTATTCTAGTAAGTTTGCATGAATTGCATCTTTATAAAAAGGATTGTATTCTCCAAACTGTTCAAAATTCTTGATTCTGGTATGTGGTGTAACATGCTCAATTAAAAATATTTTTTTGCACTCATGAGCTCTTTGTCCATCATCATGTGGACAGCCAGTCCTAGTGTGTCTTTTTGCTTGGGCTGCTTGGTATGAAGTGAGAAGGGCAATCCATTGCCCGTACTTATCAACACGGGAAGACGATCTACTGACCTGTTTTTACGACTTTCAGCTGAACAGTGGCTGGCCTCCACTGTCCACTTAGAAGTATGGGCAGTGGTTGTTTGGTCTGTATACCCCTCGCTAAATTCATTGCGAGTATAGAATAGAGTCCCCATTTAAATGATCATTTAGCATGAGAAATCAACTATATTTATTTTTATTTCACCTTGTTGGTTTATTTATTTTTGTCCTTTATCGTTCGCTTATCTATTTGTGCAATCTTACAATGGAATGTCCAATCAACTTTTTATTCCTTATGCATGTGGCTCATTTGGTATTTGCAAACATATATAATTGTATACAACAACTAGCATGTCCATCTATTTACTCACCAAATAAAACCATCTATTTCATGTATTTTTTATGGTTTTTGTCTACATTATCTTCACGAATTTTCATGCATACCCCCATTCATATCCGTTTTGTGTGTGTGTGCATAGTCATATATGCTCATGTCTGTGCATGCATCTCCTCTTGGCTCTCAGGCTCTCTCAGTTGTGTTTGGGACATGGATATTTGCTATTTCTCAATGCTATAGTTTCATTTTGGTCTTGGATGCATGTATATATGAATTTTCAATACTATCATTTTGCTTTGGTCTTCAGCATGACATGTATTTGGCTTGTTATTGCAGGTTATAACAAGAATGCATTTCTGCTACCTCTGATGGCTTTGATTTCTGTTTTTGTAATGCTATAAGCGAAAAGCTATCTATCTCTTTGAATCTCCCTCTCTCCACCTGCACCCTATCAAAGATGGTCGAGTCCGCCAACATGCTTCATATCTCGCCTCCATGTAAATTGTGTTCATCAAATGCAGCTTTCCAGACTTCAGTAGGTAAGAAATCTGTCAAAAGCAATTTATGGGCTTAGACATCGAGGAAATATGCATTATTGGTGAAGCAATTTCCATTGCGATCTCATTTCATTGGAGCTATCTAGTCTGCATAGAATCGAAGATCATCGGCATTGTTCAGTAATCCAGTATGTGCCACGTGAGATGGAGGTGTTTTCTTGCAGTATCTTCCATGATTGTGTCTTCATGATTCTTCAGACTTGTCAAATAAAAATTATGTACAAAATGTGAAATATTGATGAATCGAGTAAAAGAAACAGCATGATCACATTTATTCACACGTAAGTTGAACTCTCTTGTACGGCCTCAAAAGCAAAGTTGGCCTGTGCATGTCCTAGCTCCTAGCTCTGTCTTTCATTTTCATTCTACTACTAACTTCCTCCCCCCCGCTCTCTCACTAACTCTCTGTTTCTCTCTCTCCACACACCCACCCACACGTACACGTGCTTATCATATGCATTTACTTCATGTCTCTGTAACTACCAGCGCTTGAAACGTGTTATGCGCCTCTTACATTGGCATTATTCGTAGTGGAGATGTGTAAAAGTGTTGAATTTAGTAAGGAAAAAGTTTATATAAGTGTGAGGCGGTAAACAATCAAATTAGGGTGCACTGCAAAAATTTTACTAGAAGAGGTTGTTTTGTTGCTCATATATCTTCAAATCGATCATTTCGACCTTAAGATGCATGGATATGAGAAAAAAAATGGATTTCAAGTTTTGGAGATAGTGTACCTTGTAATATATTTTTGGACCGTCAATTTTCAAGATTTTTAAGTTTTCATAGATCTCCTTTCGCTACACTATTTTTGAAGCTTTAAATTGATGAAAATATATTTTAAGGTTGTCACAAAAATTCCCACCACATTTATCGATACTATTTGAATTTGTGCTTTACTTTGATAGTTTAGAGCCTGGGCTCTAAACAAACTGTATCTTTTAGTAAATAATTTATGGAAAGGTATACAAAGAGACCACATTTTAAATTGGAAAGGTATACAAAGGTGTCACAATCATTCTTGCGTGTCAAATTTTAAATTGGGTGGTCGTAAGTGTGCATTTGACTAGAGTCAAAGTTAAAAAAAAATTCTTTTGAACTTCATGATACATCTCAAGCCATCCAATTTGACATCTAATGATTAGGAGTAATTGTGACTTCTTTATAACAAAGATGATTTCATAATATACAATCTTTTTATTTAATTACTCTCAAATCTAGCTTTTTATGCAATCTTCCCATGTTTTAAACGTGTCTTATTTGCTTCTCGTATAATGGCACAATCATTTAGATGAGTATTGTATGGTTGCTTTTGATCACGTTCAAAGTCTAAAAAAATATTATATTTTATGTTATATGTGACATCTGTAGCTACTTGATTTTACATCTAACTGCGTAAGGTAACTGCAATCTTGTTTTACCAAAGGCTTTTATATATTTTTTCTAATTGAAAAATATCAAATCATGTCATTATAAATCAAAATATGAAAGATCACCTTATAATCCAGCAATCAAAGAAATAGAAAAAGATCTAAACACAACCCCCCAACCCCTCCTCTAAGATTATAAATTGAAATAATCTCTTGATCCTATAAATATCCCAAGCCCTCAAATTAACCAAAAAAGATAGTTTAACCCTTTTTTATCTTTTCATTGTCTCAATTACAGAATTTATCCTTGTTTTTTCTTAATTACCATTTTTCTAAATCCTGGAAAGGCTCTCATCTCTCTTTCTTCCTCACCGAAGGACCTCTTCCTCCCTCTCTATCTAGCAACTTTTCCTGATTACTTCTCTCCCTCTCATCTTGTAAACCTCACAAATAAGTCAAAAGATGCATCACAAATTCGATTTTTATGATGAGGTTACTAAAAAATGAACATATGTAAATTTTATAATTTGGACAATGAAAAAAAAGTAAAAAAGAGGTTAAATGTCTTTTTTTATTTAACTTGAGAGTTCTATGGGATATTTCTCGGACCAAGGTGTTATTTGGAATTATGATTTTAGAGAGAGCCTAAAAGAAAAAGTCCAATTAGTAAACTTGTATGCATCTCTCTTCTAGAGGTGGAAAAATAGTTGGGCTGGGCCAACCTGAGGCCTTAAAGGATGATGGGCCCTTGGCCAGGTTTCCCAGCCTGGCCTTGGCTCGGTTAGGTTAGGTCAGTAGGACCAGGTCTAGTAGAAATTTGAAAATAATAATAATAAAAAAACACAAATATAAGCAAAAAAGAATAGGACTAGGCCAGGCCTGCCTGGTTTGAGCCAAGCCGGTTGAGGTAGTCCGGCCCATGCTCGACCCTTGGCTATATCTTTCCAGCTTGTGGCCAGGCCGGGTCTAGCCCATTGTCAGCCCTACTCTCTTTCAATCCTGCTCGTTCAGCCTAGGAAGAGAACGATCGTTTAGAAACCAAACACCTCTTTTTTCTAACATTACTTTGAGCCTCCCTTTAGAAGCGTTTTAGGGGAAGAGAATAATGATTTGATAATCTCAAAAGCCATTTGTAATGCCTCAACCCTACCCATTTTAGTGATTCAAACAACACCCAGCTATGCTCCATAAGGCTGGTGCATCAAATCTACACCTAACAACTTTGATTTCAAGAGATCCTTTGTTTTATTAAATTTTTTTGAGTGTGTTGTGCTCCATCCTAGAAAGTTTAAATTTACTCCTTTATTAGAAATTTTGGGATTTACTTTGGGTTTATCAAAATTAGTTATTTTGGGATTTACTTTGGGTTTATCAAAATTAGTTATTTTGGGATTTATGTGAGAAACATCAAAAATGGTATTTTCAATAGGTGGAAATGAATTTGTGTCCCCAAAACTTTGATTGTTTTCCTAGAGTTGGGAGAGTTATTTGGCAAATTTTCGGTACAACTATCATATAGGAGGTTTTGCCGGGAGAAGTAGAAGAACATTTGAGGGGGTGGTTGTCATCCATGAACTGTTCAAGAACAAACTTATGCACACTCTTTGAAGCTGGTTTTCAGTTACTAATGAGGAGAAGGGATTTCTGAGGTAGATGAGGCTTTTAATTTATCTAATTTGATAAATCAAGCGTCGTAAGGGGAGGTGGGAGCCACCTATTTTAGGGTGCGTTAAATTAAACTTTCATGGAAGCTTTTTTTTTGGGTCAATAAACTTTGATGGAAGCTCTTTCACCGACTTAAGACGGGTAGGTATTAGGAGAATTCTTCATAACAGTGATGATGGTATTATTTTTTTTGTTTTACTGGCCCTTGCGGTAGTGTCATAGCAAACCAAGCAAAATTGCTTGCTCTTTTGCAGGGATTGCAAATCTTGGGGGAGCGATAGATCGGAGGTTTTCACTTCGTAGAGAGAGACTTTCTTAATGTGATTAATTGGTGTAATAAAGAGAGTAGACCGCCTTGGAGACATATCAATTTGGATGCATATTATGGATATTTGCAATCGTATAGAGTTATCCTTTTGGTATGTCTATAGAGAAGCTAACGATATTGTGGATGGTTTATCTAAGCGAGGAGCATCTTTGCAAAGTAAGTTTACAAGTGTCATCATTCGATTTTATTGTAAACTCTCTTTACTATCAAATTGAAGTGATCTTGGTAAAAAAGAAGAAGAAAGCATTAGGGTTCGTATTGAGTGTAGAAATCATTATTAGACTTAGATCTCATCATCTACTTTTTCAAATATCAAATACATCTTATATGAGGTCAACTTGGAAAAGCTTTCTGGATGGGAAGATGCTTAACTAATTTCATGTCAAACTAATATGAAGTTTGAAAAGAAGTTTCAAATAAGGAAAAAGCTACAAATAGGTTTAGTAGTTTAGGTTTGCTCCCAGGAATTAGGCTTGGACTTGATTAGCCAGTAATTGACATTAAGTAACACATCTTAAGCTCGATTCCTACCACTGAGCTATCACCAAAAAAAAGATTTGCTTGCTCCTAGACACCAGATCTTGGTTCGATGCTTGAAAATGCATGTAACTCTTTTAATTTTAATATTTTTTCTACAAATTGAATCAAGATAAAATTTTGGGAATGTGTACTACATATTAGAGCACACAAGAAAAATATAGAACATGTATTTCCCAAAACTTAAAACAACCAAACAACTCCTAATATATGACATCAGTAATTTGGTCATTTTATTTAGAAATATTTTTTTATATTTTTAAATGATGCGTGATAGTGTCAAGTAGATATATATAAAATTTCAACTTGATTAGATATGTAGAAAAAAAAAAAAAAAAAAATGATATACATTTTCAACCATCATCTAATGAAGATCTTACAACTAGAAGCATGACCTAAACTATTATGTATTTGAAGTGACCACCTATTTTTAGCTTTTTCTTTTAAATAAAAAGCCGGTAGGAAATATTTGGGGATGCAGACATCTCCTCGAAAGCGCCTCGCCCAGTGTTGTTGGAGCAAACTTGATCCTTTGCTAGTGCACGAGACTTTCTTTTTTTAAGCCCAATCCATTGTAGATAATCTTTTCTTGTTTTCATTCAACTCAAAACAAGCAGTAGTTTCTTTTGTTCTTTCTAGCTCTTGCGTGTTTTTTTACTTATGGGCGACTTGAAAAAAAATAAATAAATAAATAAATAAATAAATAAATAAAAAAAAAACTATCATTTACCCAATACATAGACTCTGGCTTAGCCCTCCTAAAAATAGTGAGAGCTAGAAGCGAGAGAGACAAGTGCCGTTAGTTTGGTCCTAGGGGAAGGTCCTTATGTCACAAAGAATTCCTCTTCTTGTGGTTGTGATTTTCGAGGAAGGTTACTGCTCGTGACTAAGGGCCCATTTGGCTCATTGGATTTGGATTTTTAGGAGTCATTTTTCTTGGAAAAGCCCTGCTAATCGTGTTTGGTTCACTTAGATTTGACATTTCTATTGGAATCGAGTTTTTCATAGGATTCCTGAATACTCATTTTAAGCCTAAATTTTGGAAATCTCAATTCTACTAAATAGGTGGAATTAACATTTCATGAAAATGATCTATTTTCTTGTGAAGAACCAAAAAAATATTACAATTTTAGAAAGAGAAACTATATCAAATTTTAAAGAGAGAAAACATATTAAAATTTTAAACAGGGAAACTATATCAAATTTTAGAGAAAGAAAGTATACGAAATTTTTTAGAGAGAGAAAATTACAATTTTTTTAGTGAGAGAAATTATCTCAAATTTATAGTTTTAGGGAGACCATATTAAAATTTTAGTTGGAGAAACTATCTCAAATCTTAAATTTTAGATAGAAAAAGTATCTTAAAATTTTAAAGAGAGAAACTACATTAAATTTTAAAGAGAAGAACTACTTAAATTTTTTTAGAGAGAA